CAGCCTCTTACTGTGGGGAAGAAGACTGACATGATAAAAATGGCCCATGCCTGGTTTCAAGTTGTGATGGTTCTAGTCAGGCCCCAGAGCATGGTGGCTGAGGGGCAGCTTGTAGTCTGACTACTGGCAGTGGAGTCAGGCTTTGCCACCTCATAGGTGAGTGCCCTTTCTTAGACTTAGCCTCTCTGTACCTTAGTTTCCTCCCCTGCAAAGTGGTGTAATACCAGTGCTCGAGGAATGGACATTAATCCTGGGGGTGACCATCATTTATCTCTGGCTGATGTCACTCACCACCCATTGCTCATTCTTACTGTCTTTCCTCTTGCTGGTGTGAGAGGAAGGCAGACTCCGAGCTGGACATGGTGAAGTGCACAACTAGCAGACATTGCTGCTCTCCAGAGTACAGTAAGTAGATTTTCATGGTCAATGATAAGATTTTGGGACTCTTGTTTAGGTTGGTCAGATTGCTCCATAAATACTTGTTAGGTGTTATTAATGGAAGAAGAAAAGAAGTAAAGTTGTTTTTGTTTTGCTGTTTTCCTTGTTGTGTTATTTGATATGCTCAAGTAGTGTTGAGGACATTGGGGGTGCGCCCGCACCTCTGAGCATGACCCACTCTCCCTGAAGTTGAGACTGGTTGGGTAGCGGGATGTGGAGAGGAGTTGGCCAAGGCAAAAACAGAAGCCCAAAACTGGGTTCCAGGATGTAAATCTGGTTCTGAATTTCAATGAGCATTATTTTCTACATGAGGAAATGAAATGATGGAGTGTTTAAAATCTAGATCTGTGCTGAGTAAATGGCAGAGCATGCATTTTTCCTGCCCCCTTTCTGATTGGTGTGAAACATTGGGTTGTTTCAACTGCAAGGTGAATCAGAAAGTCTTGGTAGGAATGTGGCGCCCCTCCCCCGCCCTGCACTTGGAGAGGAGTGTGTGATTTGTTTGCCAAAGGCCCTGGTAGCCTTCAATCTGTCAAAACGCTGCAAGCTGGGAGCCGTTTGCCAAAGCAAACTATCAAAGTGAAATAACACACGAGTTGTGCACACACACAGATACACACACGCTCTTCCAGCCCCCAAGCAGTAATTTCCAATTGGGTCAGGAGGAACAAGGATTTGGTCTAGATTGTCGGTGTTTTGAAGAGGTGTGGGCATAGCGACAGAGTGCCAATTAGATAGGTATGTCTGAGCAGGGTGGGGTACCCTAAAACTGTCTACTGAGCAGGGGTGGGAAACTTCCAGCCCTTGGCAGAGGCTCCTGTGGCCCCTGGGGTTATATATTGCTCTGGCTGCTGTTGCGGCAGCCTAAAGAATAATTTCCCCTTTGGGGGAATTTATTCTATCCCATTCAGAGCGGAGTCCATTTAATAACTTAGACTTTATTCTAGAATGAATTTTATGGGGTACCCCAATACACTTTAAGCTTTATAGGAACCAGCTCAATGAAAAAGAGAAGCATTTGAACATCAAATTTACCTTTTGATGCATTTTTGCAACAAGAGACACCAACAAATATTTTGTTGCTGTACCACTTGTAAATCCTATGAGGATGAATTTGGGGTCATACAGAAAATCAAAAGCACAACTGACTTTTATAAGTACCATATAGAAGAACTTTCAAAAGCCCCTAGAGATACCCTGGGTGTTTTGGAATATGTTAATTTGCACTATTTCCACTTACTTTGAAATTTTATGGGTTGGAGAGATAGCAAACCATTTCATTCAATAAGTGTAGGTCTGACTATATAGCAGATCCTTTGCTAGGCGCTGGGGATAAAGTAGTAACAAACAAACTCCCTGACCTCATGAAACTTATATCCCAGTGGGTGCAGGGACAAAGGTAAATGAATAAAGACCAAGAAGGTGAGCTAGTAAGTAGTATGGAGAGCAGAATCAGGCTGGGCTGGGAGAGGGGGACTCTCTTCTGTGGGGTCAGGGAAGCCTTGGAAAGAGGGCAGCTTTGGGCAGGCAGCTGAAGGAGATGAGGGAAGTAACTACAGAAAGAGCTAGCAACCTGGCCCATGTGGCTTCCTGAGACAGAGAAAAACCTACAACTCTTTCTTCTTCCAAACTCTCACTCCCTCTCCCACCCCCAACTTCCCCTGAAAATTATAGAAATACAGGCAGGATAAGTGGTTGTGTAAAACTGCATTACAAATATGTGGCTCAGGTGACTGCCAAGAGTTCTGTGGGGCTGAGGTGTAACACATTTATAGAGAGCTGTTTGTTTTTTTAAGGAAACCACACCAATCTGTTTTTCTTTTTAAATGAGTAAACAGTGCCAGAATGCATTACAAATGATTTCTATTTGTAGGCCTGGGTTTCTGATGCATTTTCTTACCCATTAACTCCTCGGTAGGGAGGAAGGCCTGGCAGGTTATATTACTCCCATTTTACAAATGAGGAAACAGAGGTTCAGAGGAGACTTAGCCAAGGCTATGGAACAAGGTGAACCAGGTACTCAGATGCTAGAGTTAGTGACCACATGTGTCATGGTTTAGAGGAAGAACTGGACCCAGTAAGCAAACAACTAGGAAATAACCATTCTTTACCCACACCCATGGGGTTACAGTACTCTGAAAATGCCCCCATTCCACCCCTGGAAGACATTGCCGATGCTCTCCTGGCCCACAGGTCAATGAGCAGCCTCATTTTCAGTTATCAAAAAGTCCAGTAAAGGTATGTGTATGTTTGGAAGGCGATGGCTTTATTGGTTGAATGCCTGTCCTCCTGGTACATAGCTTGGCAGTGTTAGTCTAAGACATCCGTAGCTTAACATTTACACTTGCATCTCTGTTGTATGTTGAGGAGCACTCTGCATTCTTCAGCAAGAACATTTCCATTATAGAAAATTTTATGGGGATTGGCCTTGTTCCTCAGCAAATCATAAGCCAACTCTCATTTTTTTTCACCACTAACTTCATGTTCCATCTTTCTAAATAGATCCCCTACTTGAAGGATCTTGTGTATTTATATATTAAATTGAGAAGAACATCTAGCCAGATAAAGCAGTGTCAGCATCTCATCCAATTTAGAGCTTCTTTCTTCCCCCATCCCAAAATGGAAATGACCTAGCTTCGGGTCCCTATAGTGGAAAAGAATGGGGTTCCTGATTTTTCCACACTCCTAGTTCTCCTCCCTGACCTCTTCTTTCTGCCATTATTAATTTCTCTGGCTGGAACCAGGGGGAGAAATAACTGGATAATGAGGGTCTCAATAGGATAGGTGCCTACTGTCCTCGGGTGTTGCCTCCTTTGGGCTGGCTGATGTCTAGTTCTGGGTTCTCTTCTCTCAGGGCCTGTCCTGCTGTGTGTGCCCTGGTGCAGGCTGTGCAATATTCCCTGACCCCTGATGACCTTCTGGCCGCTTCTGTACCCCAGGGATACATACGACACATCACCTCTCTTTAAAGTTCATTAGCGCTGGCAAGCATCTTCTTTGATGGGGTCCTTTGTGGACAACCTGAAGCCCAGTGTATTTCCATGGGCTTCTGGTCCACAGGGCAAGCCCAGCCTCTCTGCCCCTGCAAGCCCCAGAAATACAGGGAAGGAGCCCCAACTTTTCCTCCTGCATAGGGGAGTGGAGGACTGTGCTCATGTCTCCTATACCCCTCTATGAGGAAGGATGTGCCTCACAAATTCTGTGCTCCAGTGTACTCCTTACAGCTGCAGGCAGGTCAGAGGCCCCCTGCAGGACCCGGGGTGTGACAAGAGCAACACCTTCTCCCATCCTAAATGGATACCACACATGCAGTCTTTGCCTTTGGAATGCGTGGGTCTGTAATGCTGCTGATCCCCAGCTTTAGGGGGTCGGTCACAATGCTAAGATGACAGAAGGACACATTTGACATCCTACATACCCAATGGCCTGGCTTCTCCTCCTGCCCACGGTCTCTAAGTCGTCTGTGGACATCAATCTCTGAGGTGCTCTCGGGACCAGTGTTCATGTTCACATAACATAGAGGCTCAGATAGGATTTGGGATACTTTGAGGTGGCAAGAGCTTTTCGAACTCCATGAGCCCTAGCCTGCGTGACCAGCCTGACTATCCTCATCTCCACATAATGAATTTTTCTTGGACCAGAGATATTTAAGTCTCTTGATTATGATGGAAGCCTCCGGAAGGTTGGGAAGCACTGGACTCTTTAACTGCCCTCAGAGTTAAACTTGAAACTAGGACTCAAAAAGCAACTAAGTGGGGCCAGTGTCCTTTTTGCAGGGATGCTTTTAATAATGCAGTTGATGATTAAAATCTTGGACTTTGGGGCGTTAAAGGAACTTACAATACTTCTCTGCTGGAATGGTGGTGGGCTCTTTCATCCATCATCTTCACTGATCCTTACAGAAGATGAGAACTTTTAGGCTCCAGTTCATCAATTTCCCTATGACCCTCCAGTGTAGTGGTGGAGTTGAAGTTCAGCCTGGGTGTATCTGCTTCCACAGCTTCATGCTCTCCCACCCAGCTGCTATCTCGGGCCAGCTGGCACCTGTAGCCACACCTTCCTCTTATTTGATGGCAGGACCTGGCAGGACTGGCTGGTGCCAGTGGGGCTTAACACAGACCTATGGCACATGATGGGCAGAAGAAAGGTGCCAAAGAACGCCTGGGGTGGAAGAACAGAACTTCCCTGGCCAGGCGCAGAAGCCCACTCTTACCTTGACCTTTCCCCATAAGGACCAAGACTGCACCAGCACATACCCTGTGGCAAGCATGGCGTCTTCTCTTACCCGTCCTCCCCAAACCTCCAAGCTGACTTCCCTGGCACTTCCCACCTTATAAGGGACGAGACCTAGCAATGCTGCTTGGATTTGATCCCAGGTCTGGCCCAACCCTCAGCATTGTGCTGCCTCCCGCCTGCCCCTGGGGTTGGCCCTTTACATCTTCACTGGGTCACATCCAAGGCCTCTTCTCTCTCTTCCAAGGAGGAGACAGAGAAGCTTTGTGCCAGGGGTTACTGCCTGGAACATACTCACAGTCCTGCCTGTTGCTGTTTTTCTTTCTCAGTGTCCTGAGTTCCCTCTTGCTGCTTGGATTCCAGCTCGTCTACTCACAGCCCTCTAATGAACACAGAAAGGTAAGCCAAGGATGGTCACAGGCTTTCCTCTCTGCCCAAGGGGCTCAGATCGCTCTAGTTACCACCTGAGCTTTGTTCTACTAGGAGGTGAGTCCCCTCTGATTCTGGAAGGTGGTAGCACTTATGGAATACTCGGCAGCTTACTTGTCCTTCTTAAGCCTCTGGATTAAAGATGAAGCTGGTTCCCAGAGTGAGTCTCTGATCCAGCAGTAATGCCGGTCTTCCAGCCTCTTACAAAGGAGATCAAGGAGTGGTCCATGAGAAGCCTGTACACATGGGATGGTGCAGCACCAGCTAGGAGCTTCCTGCCATCTAAAGGTGCCTGCAAGAACAGGGGAGCACATGCTTTGAGGAGCAGTAGCTACTGCTGTGACACTAGCTTTGTAAGAGGGCCACTGATAGGGAGCTTGCATTTTTGGTAGGATGACACTGCCCACCATCACCCAGGTGGGGTGATGGGGGCTCAAGGAAATAGAACCTGGCCCATTCTCTTCCCCAACATTTCCTGCAGTGACTCCCTTCAGCTGAATTCACCAAAAGGCAGAAGAAAATATGCCCTTGAAAGCAGTTCTCAGAGGCCAGCATCCTGGGCCACAGGACTGGGGAAGAAAGCTGGACAGAGTATCTGGCTGGATGAGTAGAGTGTCAAGCATGCTTCCCTTCAGGCTCTGTAGGCTCCATAGTCCCTGACCCACTCACTGTCACCTACCACACCTACTGCTGTCTTGTGACACAGCAGGTGAGGGATAAATATTTCCTAGACATAGATGAGCCAAACCTGAGAAAGTCCCTAAAATTCCTTCTGCTACCTATGTGTTCCTCATGTGTGCATATAATTAAATGCAGACACTGTAAGAACAGTAATAGATCAGCCACTATGTCTAAGTATGACTGGCTTGATTGGATCCTTTCCTGAGGGAGGGTTTTCATAGGGGACGTTCAGAAACAGAGAGGGTTGAGAAAGGAAGAATTTGCTTGTATCTGACCCTTCTTGGGGGAGACTCTTGATGACCCTATCCAGTTAGTCTAGTTTACTTTAGGTGTGTGGATTATGTTCTGGTTTTGTTTTTCTGGGCCAGACAGAAGCTTGTTTTGCAGTGTGTCTCCCACTAAGATGTCAGCTCCAGAAAAGAGGGATCTTGCCTGTCTTGTTCACTACCATTTTCCTGTCTCCTGGAATACAGCCTGGCATGTTGTAGATACTCAAAAAATACTTGTTAACTTACTGACTAAATGAATGACTAGAAAACCTGGCCAAGGTCTAAACAGCCTTTTGTTGAGGGTACTTGGAAAGTTTTACTTCTCTCACTCATAATCAAGATCTCACTCCAGATCACTCATAATTTCAAGATCAGAAAAAACAGCTATGACTGCTTCAATATTTATGTCTCCCCTTCAATTCATTGAAACCTCATCCCCAATGTGATAGTACTTGGTTGCTTATGATTTAGGAGGTGATTAGGTCATAAGGGTGAGGCCACTAAGGCTGTGATTAGTGCCCTCATTAGAGTGACAAGAGAGCTTGCTGTTCTCTGCTCTCCACCTGTGAGGGCATCACCAGGAGCCTGCAACCAAGAAGAAACACCATACAGACACCCTGCTTTCAGACTTTAGAACCTTAGAACTGTGAGAAATAAGTTTCTGTGGTTTGAATGCCATCCAGTGCATGACACTTCATTTTAGTAGTCCAAATGGACTCAGGCAGAAATTAGTACTGAGAAGTGGGGATACTACCATAACAAATATCTATAAATATGAAAGTGACTTTGGAACTGGCAGTGGGCAAGGCTGGAAGGGTGTGAGATGCATGCTGGGGAAAGCCTAGTTGCTTTGCGTGGGCTTTTAAAGATGATTCAGATGAGAGCCCAGAGGAAAATGAAGAAAGCTGTGGAATAGGCCTGTTTCTTCAAAGAATAGTTAAATAACCTAGGACAGAATGTTCATCACAATATGGACAGTAAAAGCCATTTTGATGAGAACTTAGGTAGAAATGAGGTACCTATTATTTTGAAACTTGAGGAAAGGCTATCTGTCATAAATTGGCAAAGAATTAGACTGAGTTGTACTCAATTTCTGGTGTTGGTAAAAGGAATAACCTGCAAGCAATGAAATTATATATTTAACTAAAGCAATTTCTAAGCAGAGTTGAAGGAAGAACCTGGTTTCTCTTCACTGCTTTTGGTAAAAGGCAAGAAGAGAGAAATGATTTAAAAATGAATTATTAATTGGAAAGGAAGTAGAACACAGAACTTAAAGATTTGGACAATTCCCAGTCTATCCATATTAAAATTTGAATGAGAATGTCTGCTCTAGAAGGAACATTAAGAGTATGACTGAGAGATCTTTGATAAAGAGACTAGTCAAAAACTTGCCAGAAGACAGGAGTTATTGTCCAAGGTCATGGAATAAAGCAGAAGAAGCCTTTCCTGTGCCGTTGGGACCTTGGTTCACCCTGCCCAGGTCTTACGTGGTGGTCTTTACTCTTTGGACCTTGGCATTGTGCTTCTCAGCTGCATCCAGTGCTGTTCTGGTGGCCTCAGGGTGCCTATCCCTGAGAGCTGCAGTAAGAGCAGCTTAAACCTAAAGCTGTGGGGCAGGACAGCCCAGTAGGCTAGGGCCCCACCCCAGTGGACGTGGAGGCTGAGCTTTGAGTCAAAGAGGATTATTCCTAAACATGAAGATCTAATGGAATTTTCTCCACTGGGTTTTGAACTTGCTCAGAATCTGCCATGCCTATCTTCTCTCTCTTTTCACCTATTTGGAATGGGAGTGTTTGTCCTATGCTTGGCCAGCAGGCCATTTTGCATAGCCTATTTGATTTCATAGGTTCATAGCTGGAGAACTACGCCTTAGAATGAATCATACCTTTAGTCTCATCCATATCTGATTTAGATTATATTTAGATGAGGTTTTGGACCTAGGGTTTAAGCTTAATGCTGGAACACGTTAAGACTTTCAGAGCTATTGGGATGGAATTAATGTATTTTGCATGCAAGAAGTACTTGCCTTTGGTAGAATGTTACCGCCTACCAAATTAAGGTTTTGAAAACACAGTGAGATGGTGTTTGGCACCTTCAGGAGGTAATTAAGTCATGAGAGGGTTAGTGACCTTATAAAAGAGATCTCCAGAGAGACCTCACCCCACCACCCCCTGGTGCATGTGAGGATCCAATAAAAAGACAGCAGTCTATGCACTCAGATGGGAATCTGCTGATGCCTTGATCTCAGACTTCCCAACCTCCAGAACTATGAAAACTAAATTTCTGTTGTTTATAAGCCACCCACTCTGTGGTATTTGCACAGCATCCAGAACAGATTAAGACAACTGTCTATATTCATTATTAAATTACATTATTTATACTGTTTGAATTTTGGGGGTTGTTTATCCTAATAATTAAATCAATCTGTGGGTGCTTTTCATTGTTGCTGTGTTCAAATAGATTATCATAGTTGAAAATATTTCCAGTTGATAAGTGGTCAATTTTCTTTGTTGTCTTAATTTTCAAATTACTCTGGGTGATATACGCCTAGCTTGAACAAAAGGTTCAATATGTATTGACCTCATTTTTCTTAAAGTTTTTTTTCTGAGAAATGAAAAAAAAAAGGTTCACCACTTAACTTTACAGAATTGAAAAAATTGAACAAAACAATCACATCTTGGTGAGAAATGAGCAAGACTAAGATGCTCATGGTCTGTTCCCACCCATGTACTTACAATTGCAAGATACAACTCAACCTCAGGATACAGCTATAGTGGATTACTTACAAAAGGGTGATTGGGAGGAAAGAAAATGTTTCTATGGCCACTGATGGTTGACTGTCCTACCCCAGAGAGTGTCCAGTGTCTGGTATAGTTCAATATGTTACAGGGCATGTTGAATACACTACTGGGGGCTTGATTTTGAAATCTGAGCTGGTTTTGAAAACAGGTCAGGTCCGAGCTCCCCTGCTGCTCATGCAAGAGAGTATTGTCCCTCTGCTGGGAGCAGAATCCAACTAATCAGCGGCAGCCAGGCACGTCAGGTGTGGTAGTGCTGAGGGAGCACCACAGTGTGGCAGCGTCACAGTAATCTGAAGCTGGGCTGGGCAGTGCCAGAGGATCACGGCACCAGTGTTCACAGCTCTGCAAATATGCTGAGCATAGGCCTGTAGCATAGGCCAACGAAAGCAGCTGAAGCACAGGTCTCAAAGGGCACAAAGGGTCTGTGTTTAAGGTCCTTTCAGGAGAGAGTCAACCTGAAGTTTAGTCATCTTCTGAAACTTCTTTTTAAGCTGAGTCAGATCTTCTTCACTCCCCCCTAGACAAGTCCAGCCTTTCTTCTCAAGCTCCCTGAAGCCTCTCCAAGCTTTGACTTGTATACTCTTAAGGGGAACTTGACTGGTACATTTAAGACCGATTCCAAGCCAGTTGTTTCAGAGACTTGACTGTAGGCTGGTGCATGCTTGAGCCTAATCAGTACCAGTGGGCGCTCAGACCTGACCTGTTTTCAAAACCAGCTCAGGTTTCAAAACCAAGCCCCCAGTAGTGTGTCCAACATGCCCTCTACCATCTCATGCCAGACCTAAGCAAGCAAGCTCTGAATGGTGCCAGGCATGTTCCAACATGACCTGCATGTCTCTAAAGCAGCCATTTTAAAAAATATATTTATTGCATGATACTTCATTTTTATACGATGTATAATTTCCTGGTCAAATTACCACTACCAGTTTACCTGGGCCCTAACACCATACACCATAGTCCTTTGTACTCTCTCTCTCTCTCTCTTTTTTAATCTCTTTTTCACCTTTAAGCCCAAAGCTGGCTGTGCCAGGTGGACTGCTATGGTGTGGGTACAGTCCAATCTGATGCCACTGAGCTAGGGGCCCCAGCATCTTTAGAGAAGCAGGAGCCATGAAGCCTACTCTTGCATTGGCATATTGTACCTCCTTGGCAGGAACTGTTAAGAACTCTGCAGTAGAATGATAGACTTCATATCTATCCTCCAAATCATTTATTGACT